ACTACGTTACGTCACTTTTTAAAAGCTCTAAACTTTAAAATTTTTAAATTTCCGTAACTCCATTTTTTCAAATGGCACCCTTCCCTTTTTCCGAGACCTTTAATTTGATACACAAATGTCAAGGGCTGCTTCAAACGGTTTCCGAGATATTCCATGTTTTGGTTTACTTCTTGTAGCAAATTGTTAAAGATATTAAGTCGTTTTTGCTTTTATTAAATTTTCGCTTTTTGAACAGTTTTGAACATTTATTTCCCGTCAATAATGGCTCGTTTAGGTTACACAAATGCAGTTTTTTTGAATTTATTAGTAATTACACGGTGAATGAAATCGAATAGCGGCCAGGACCTGCCGTCTTGCTTCCGAAAGATACCCTGACAAGGTGCGACCCCCGGGATACAATTCGCAAATTACTACAACATTATAGGAACGGTATGTTTCAAACAAAAATACAAAAAAGGAAGCCTGTTGAACTCTGAAGAACAAGAAATAACTGTACTGGCTTATTTTGCTGCAAATCCAACTACATATTCAAAGAGAAATTGACATATCAGACACGAGGGCACAAAGAATACTCAAAAAGCATAAATGGCACCCATATTTGTTTAAGAAAATGCATTGCCTTTACGATGGCGATCATGAATGCAGAATTCAATTTTCTGAGTGGATGTTAGTAAAACTTCAAGAACAAATTGGATTTTTAAGTGATGTGATTTGGTCTGATAGGGCAAGATTCACTAAAAATGGTATGTTGTGCAATCGTAATTCTCATTTTATAGAAATCCGAAAGTAACACCTGAAGTGTACCATCAAATAACATGGTCGTTTATTGATTTTTGTGCCACAAAAGGAAATCGAATATTGTATTTTACCAACAAGATGGGGTGCCAGGTCATAATGCTGGGGTAATTTTGTATTTGAAAGGATTGGAGAGAACCTTTAATGGTAACTGGATCGGGTATTTAGGTCCTTATGCATGGCCCGCGCGTTCACCCGATCTTACGCCCCTAGACTTTTTTCTTTGGGGAACTATCAAAGATATGGTTTATGCTACAGCACCAAGAACAAAAGCTGATATGGAGAGACGAGTTAGAGATGCATTCAATTCATTAACACCTTTTATTTTGAACGATTCGTGATTGTGTGGTTTTGTCTTCTCATATCACTCTTCATATTATGAAATTACAATAAAGGGTCAACTATGGGGTATCGTTGTACTCCAAATTCGACGTAGAATCCGAAAATGTAGAAAAAATAAGGCGTCCTTATTTAAAATAACAAAGCTGATGGATACTTCCGGTATTTGCGGAAGTGGTGGCCTCTTGAAAATATTTTAGTTCAATTCATCATGTGCCAAAACCCGTACGAGACTTATCACAGTTTAGTTTCGTTTTCAAAGGTTCTCAATATCTCTCGTCAATAATGACCATGTATAGTGGATGTTGGCAAACCCTTTTATGATAAATGTATGTATGATCCCTTATATAGGGATATATATAGGTGATCCTTTTTAGCACCGACAATCAAAGAAGGTTTGACGAGCTGATGTAAAAATGTCACCCTTGTAATAGATGTGTGCTAAGCAGGAAGCGATTTTTATTTGATTGATGGATACCATCTTTACAACATTTAAGGCGGAAATGCTAAATATAGGTAATATAAATATAAAAATGAAGACTTTATCAAAGTTGATGCCGTTGTAGCACCCATTGTCGGTGCTGCAAAAATTAAAACTATGTTCCGTTTGAGAAGAGAAGGGGAAATGCCTCGGAGTTGTGTTTGTGTTAATTAAATTAAACTTCAATCACAAAAAAACTAAGTGATTCCTTTGACCATTTGCTTATATTACCAAAATGTGCGAGGTTTATGGCGCTAAAACAAACGAACTTTTAAATAACGTGAACCTAAATTTGACTTTGATGTTATCTGTTCGACCGAAACGTTTGTAGGTAGTGATATCGGAGACTAGGAAATAACTCTTGGATTAAATTAAAAATTAATGCCAGTCAGTACTTCATCATTGTGAATGTTTATATACCGCCAAATACAGCACATATTTACGAAAAGCTCTTTCATGCATTGGAGAAGGTATTGTAACGGAGTCTCATGTCATTTCGGAGATTATATTCAAATCAATAAAGTTGTTAATATAAATAATTGCACTCTTGATCTTATTATTGTACCTAGAACGCTAACGTGTGACGTTATACAGGACATTCTCTCTTTAGTGAAGGTTGACAGCTATCACCCACACCTAATGTCTTGGTTGCAAGTTCCTAGCAAAGTTAAATCAATAAATTTCCGACGGAAAATAATACCACAGATTTAAATATACTAATTTAAATCTGTGATAATGCATAATACCGTCCTGCAATTTTAAAAAGGCTAGTTATTTTGGCCAACATCGACTGGGAAGTCCTTTATTCTTGTGTTGATGTCAATATTGCTTGTAAATATTTGTACGAGAATGTGTATTCCACCTTAGACCAATTTGTCCTAAACCGGAAACAAAAACCAATTAAAGTATCCTCCTTGATTTAATGGTGATATATTGCGCCAATTAAGTATTAAAGAAAGATCCAGAGCGCTATGCCTACATAAATGCGCAATATGGGTGTAAATCATAACCTCATTAATGGTGTCTCATCATATTTGACCAATAGAAAACATCAGATGTGTGGTTGTAAATGGGTACACCTCATTTGAATATGTGTCACCAAGCAGTGTTCCCCAAGGATCCAATTTGGGGCCACTTTTTACATGAAATGAACAACACTTGTTATGAATATAGACTTCAGAATTATTCTGTAGAGAGAGAGTGTGTGAAATTAAGGACTTGGGTGTCACTTAGACAAAAAATTGACTTATATTATACTCATATTATACAATTATGTATAGACAGTATTAAAGTCCTGGGTTATATAACTAGAAGTTGCAAATTGTTTAAATTTACTGATGTATTGCTGAAATTATATAGTGCCCAGAGTTGGACTGGGTCACTGGGTCACTGGGTCAACTGGGTCACCTGGGTCACTAAATTAAACTGGGTCACTGGGTCGCTGGGTCACGTCATACTCTTTTCAGGTAGACCCAGTTTGACCCAGTGACCCAGTTTGACCCAGTGACCCAGTTTGACCCAGTGACCCAGTTTGACCCAGTGACCCAACTTGACCCAGTGACCCAACTTGACCCAGTGACCCAGTTTGACCCAGTGACCCAGTTTGACCCAGCGACCCAATTTCACCCGGAGACCCAATTCGACCCAGTAACTAGTTTGATCGAATAACGCAGTTAAGTCAGTCCCCTCGGTTCAAGTGTACAGATTATGAAATAAATGAAATGCTGGTTTGTTGAAAATAATACTCGATTGCTTGACAACTGCCATTTCTGTGATGTTTGCTTTAATACTGCCGTAAAAAACTTTCCATGTCCCGAATTGTATTAGAATAATGTTATTTCTAAACAGTTCCCTCCTTCGTTTCTTTGCTTCAGGGCTTACCAGTTTGCTTACAGGTGTTCATTCACATTTAATTTTTTTCTACTAGTTAGCTTAATCCAAATAAATCTTTTCTCTAAATACTTTCATTGACTACTTGACTACAAACTATAAACAAATGCATTTGATTTTTTTAGGTATCAGTTCTCTTGAATGAAATTGGGCTACGTGCTTGTTGGCGAATATTATTGAGGAAGTTTTTTTTAAAATTAAAAGTTACTTGAAATTGTTTTGGATGATACCTAACAATAATTTAATTACTGGGCCACCGGGTCAAGACCGGTCACTGAGTAAAGCTGGGTCAAGATGGGTCACTGGGTCAAGCTGGGCTACAGGGTCAAACTGGGTCAAACTGGGTCACCGGGTCAAGCTGGGTCACCGGGTCAAGCTGGGTCACCAGGTCAAGCTGGGTCACCGGGTCAAGCTGGGTCACCGGGTCAAACTGGGTCAAGCTGGGTCACCGGGTCAAGCTGGGTCACCGGGTCAACTGGGTCACCGGGTCACTGGGTCAGTAAACTAACTGGGTCACCGGGTCACTGGGTCACTGTATGCTTGACCCATTAATAAATAAATAAATTCCCATCCGAAGCAAACAAAAAACCACATTTCTATTTTCCTGGTCTAAAAAACGGTAAGCGGCCAATGTGCAAATGAATTTCATTTCAACGATGCTTATTTTGATAGCATCTACTAGTACTGATATTTGAAAGGAATCAAAAATTTGGAGAAACGTTGCAACCTTTTATTTTAAAATCATGAACGAACTTATTATTGATCCGTTACCGAATTGACAAAAAGTGTTGAATGCCGAATCTGCAATTTGTATATTATAGTGTTACAAACGCAATTAGAAAAGATTAGCACATTCAAGTCGACATTACAACTTTTAGGGCTTTGCTTGCCATCTCGCATTTAAATTTGGAAAGATGTAAATTCTTAGATTGCTCCGCGACGTTAGTTGCATTCCCTTATCTACTTATTCAGGCAAATTTAGGACAACTCCGTTAGAAATTAAACGTTTCCGCTGGGAGAGAATTCGCACGTTGTCGTTTAAATGAAACTCTTTGTATGGTTCTTTGATCAAAAGTCAAATTACCGACTAATTTTGTAATATTTGATGTTATTACCCGTTATTTCAACTGATTTTAATTTATACGGTTTCGGGCAGAAACTTCCATACTATATCTCTGACTTTTTAATAAGAACGAAGGAGAATTAACTTGTGGTATAAGTTTATAAAAAACAAATAATCCTTACAAGGGAATTTATCTTCTTTCACGCAGGATGTATGCCTCTGCTTGTATAACGTTCAAAGTCACAGCACAAAACTTTTTAATCCGATATACTTTGCAAGTCTCTTCTCAGAGCGTTTTGCAAAGTTCATTTAGAAGTTGCCTAATTTGATGAACTAAATGGAATAGATTCGTTTCAAGTCGTTTATGGAACGGTAGTGGGAATGATGGTAGCTGCGGTTCGAACGTTTTAATAACATTAGCACTTGTTTCAGATGCTGGAGATGTGCCTTATGGGTTATCGTTTTCTGATACTGGACGGCGCGTTCTTGGTCCATTGGCCCGGAATTAAAAGGAAATCTCCGCAATCGAAAAGCGTAAGCAAGTGGAGATATCCGCATCAATTATGGAACTCAAGACAATACACTGCAATTGTTAAAAGGTTATCAAAAAAGTATCCTAAGAATCCTAAATGTAAAATGTAACAAATTTGTATAACTTTATACTGTAACGGGTAATTGTTATGTTAAGTAATGTTACTGTTGTTGATTATTATATTTGGCAATAATTCTGGAAGGTAAGATGTAGTGATATCATAAGTGTGTATCGTCGTTATTATCAAGCTAAAGATATGTTATAATTTTTGATAGATATATTTAGCACTTATTAATAAAGTACATTTACGGACTTGTATAAGTTTCTTATTCATTTTTACATACAGGACTTCCCTTGGAAAAGGAACCACAGATTGTAACATGTAATTTTGATAAAAAATTAAAAAAAGCAATAAGACGTCCATTTAGATAGATAGGGGGAAGTTTAATGAAAGGTTTTTCACTCTGCACCCTCAGCTACCCGACCTTAAAAGTTTAATATGCGTCAACATCACCAATGCAAAATTAATGATTTTGATTGCAAAAAATTTATTACATTCAAAAGTGTTTCTTTGTAATTTGTCTGCATTCTGTGCCTTAATTCTTGAAATATTGTCAGGTCGAGTCTTGTACACTACCGTTTTCAATCAAGCAGTCAAGTCGGAAGATTGTGGTAGCAATTATGGCACCCCTCCGCCAATCCGTTTACCAGGACACTACCTAACAGTCAGAGTACTGACGAAGCCCCAACTTGTTGGAAGTGCAAATTTTCCTCGGCTAGCAGCATGTTCCCATTGTAGTCCACTTGAGCCTCCAAAGATTGTGTGATCAGAGGGCTTCATCATTTCTGCCCATAGAGTCTGATATAATACCTAATTCCCTTGTTAAAGTTCCGATAAAGTTTGAAATACACATAAAAGGTTTCGATAAATTTCAGAACATTTCAGAGAGATTTCAAGGGAATTAAAGCAAAACTTCGGGTTAATATTTCAAAAACCTAAGCAACCCGAGCAGTTTTTGAGGGAGTTTCAAGATATTTTTCAACAACATTCCGAGAAGATTTCAAAACCATACTGAGAAAATTACAAGAGCATATCGAGCACACCTTAAAACGCGCCAGATACCGGGTGTTCATCTATAGAGTGATTGCTAAAACAGTACAACGGGTAAATACCAGGCGGAAAACGGGTGCTTCGTTACAAGACATATGTAGAATAAGTTATATACGAACACGCTCTTAAAGAGGATTTTTACAAGAATAAGAGCGTAATGTTGACTTATTTACTATTTTCATTTTTACATCGTTATAAAATCGACGTAAAAACATTCCAACATGGAACTGGAAACAACCTAAAAATGGACTTTAGATAATCCCATGTACTGTTTCTGTTTCATTTAATCAGATTTTTCGTTTTGTGTAATGGGGGACATTCTTATGTAAACGCAAATGATACTCAATCACTCTTGTCAAACAGCTTCAGGCAGTATTTATAAGTGTTCTGAGTAAAATGTTTAACTAAAGAGGAGGTACAACGAGAATGATACATAATAGAAAGTAAAACTTTGGTCGAAAAAGTTTCGTTATGGTCAATCCATAATGTAAGCAAAACCAAATAGATGAAATGTCAGTTGAACCACAATAAAACTTTCCATTCTATAGAAGAGAAGACGACGCAACGTGTTTACATTGTAAAAGGTTAAAAGCTATATAGAAATAAGAAAAAAGTAGGACTCAAAGATCTGAAAGTGGGACACTTTTTTGAAAATGAGTTAAAAGCTATGTCGCTGTGACAATCTAGCTGAAATATTAATAGGTATTTCGCTATATTGCGCACTTTGCGAAAATAGGAATTAAAATATTTGCTAATGCTTAATCTTTAACCTATTAATCGACGAGCTAGAATAGTTGGCTGATAAGAGAACGCGTCATAGTTCTATCCCAACACTTAACCGAACCACATCTAAAAATGGATGAACAAGAGTTCGAAATTCCGGTGCCTTGGGGACATATTGCAGGTTTGCCTTGAATCGATCAAATGAGATCTTAGTTTTTTTTCCTTTTAGCTAAATCATGGGGAAATGACAAGAACCAGTTGGTCTTTATGATTCATGCAAATAGTGATAATGCTGGATCTTTTGATAGATTAATTTTGCACTTGCCGGACACATTTTACTACATCGCGATTGATCTTCCTGGTCACGGAAAATCAAGTCATTTCCCTAGCAATATACCGCTACACGAAATTAACTACGTGCTCGCCGTTAACATGGTGGTCAATTACATGAACAGGGAAAAGGTTATACTAATCGGCCATTGTTGGGGAGGACAAATGGCCATGCTATTCTCGCAATTTTTCCCGGAGCGTGTTTTGAGACTAGTGCTAATTGAGGCAGTTTATTTTTCACCTGTGTCGGTCGAATATTTTAAGCAGTACACCAGGGAGTACATCGATAATAGCATTACTTTACTAGAAAAATCCAAAACGCGCAAGCCTCCAGTGTATTCGTTCGATAGTGCAAAGCATGCCATGATTAATGCTCGAATATATGGAAAACTAAAGCCAGAGGCTGCAGGACCTTTATTGAAACGATGCCTAAATCCTATCGGCGAAGACCAATATCAGATTACAAACGACGTGAGACTAAGAACAAAACATTGTATGTTCGTCGATATGGATTTTTGTATTTCAGTGATAAAAGAACATCCTGTTACCTGCCCAATTTTAATTATTTTTGGAAAGGATTCCACACCTCTGTCGGAATACTACAAAGAGTTTCTGAAAGAATTAAAGAATGCGAATCCTAAGTGTACCACAATGGAAGTTAATGGAAATCATGACGTTCATATCAATAATCCGGAATTAGTAGGACCTCCAATACATAGTTTTTTAACTATTAGCAATTTGTAAATATGTTTTCTTACAAATATTCGTAGAAGTGTTTATTAAAGAGACTTAAGTATCTTAGTCACATCCTCAGGATACTAGTTTCGAAATCATTTTCTTGTAAACTGCCCTACATCCGTATTCGAAGTTTGCCTATCAATCGTGGGAAAAATTCTTAGAAAATAGGTGTTTTACTAGTAATCTTCTTAAAAAATATTTTAGAGTGCTTTATGAAGTATATTTGTGAAGCATTCTTAGGAATAGTCTTTGAAAATGTTTCAATATGAATAAGTTTTCATACTAGGTACAAAAGATCTCTATCTTACGTGTATTACACAAAACAAGTCTCTTATAATATCAAATGCTATATCGCGGAGCTGGTGATTATAAAAAAAATTATTTGGTTCTTAACCTTTAACTTGTTAATCGAAGAGACAAAATGTTTGCCCGATAACAGAAAGAGTCACCGTTTTATCCTAACAGTCAACCAAACAACATCTACAAATGGAAGAAAGAGAGTTCGAAATTCCGGTGCCTTGGGGACATATTGCAGGTTTGCCTTGAATTGATCAAACGATTGTTTAGTTGTTTTCCTTTTAGCTAAATCATGGGGAAATGAAAAGAACCAGTTGGTCTTCATGATCCACGGAAATATGGATAACACTGGATCTTTTGATAGATTAATTTCTCATTTGCCGGACACATTTTACTACATTGCGTTTGATCTTCCCGGTCACGGAAAATCAAGTCATTTCCCTGGCAACATGCCGCTACACGAAATTAACGACATGTTCTCCGTTAACATGGTGGTCAATTACATCAACAGGGAAAAGATCATTCTAATCGGACATAGCCGGGGAGGACAACTGACCATGTTATTTTCGCAATTTTTCCCGGAGCATGTTTTGCGACTAGTGCTAATTGACGCAGTCTATTTTTCACCTGTGTCGGTCGACTACTTTAAGCAGTGCACCACGGAGTATTATCAATGTTGATAATACCATAACTTTACTAGATAAATCCAAAACGAGTAAGCCTCCAGTGTATTCGTTTGATAAAGCAAAGCATGCCGTAATTAATGGACGAATGCATGGAAAACTAAAGCCAGAGGCTGCAGAACCTTTATTGAAATGGTGCCTATCGGTGAAGATCAATACTAAATTACAAACGACCTAAGACTAAAAGAAAATCATTGTCTGTTTGCCAGTATGGATTTTTGTATTTCAATGATAAAAGAACATCCTGTTACCTGCCCAATTTTAATTATTTTCGGAAAGGATTCCACGCCTCTGTTGGAGTACTACAAAGAGTTTCTGAAAGAATTAAACAAATCGAATCCTGTGTACCACAATACAAGTTGACGGAAATCATGACGTTATATCAACGATCCGGAATTGGTAGGACCTTCAATACATTGTTTTTTTAGGTAATTTGTAAATATGCGTACATTAAAGTAGGGTAATGAAAACGCTGTCAAAATAATCCGATCATTTCTATTAAAACGATACGATTAAAATGATACGCATTTTAGGGCAATTTTTCGAAAGAAAAAAATTCCCCTTATGTGATGGATTTGTACGTTTGTCTGTCCGTCCGTCTGTTCCTCGTCTAACTTGAGAACGAAAAGCAAAAAATTCCCATACTGAAAATCGTATGCGATTCTTCGTAGGTGTCGTTTTGTTCGTTTTAGGTTTTCTCACTTATAATTGCACAAGAGGTTTGTATTTTGCCGAGAAAATTTGGGTTGTATAATGAAAATCTGTTGCCTAGCAATGAGACGAGGAAAACTATCAACGTTTGCCCGGAAAACCTGGGAATAATCGTGAAAATTCATAAATGTGTTTCCACTTTCACCAAAGAAAATAGGATTCCAGATCGCTGCAAATCTTCTTGAAAAAGGTCACCTTAAAAACCCCCATGGAATTTTTCAAACCTTTTTTTTTGGAATCAGATCGTTTTAAATTATTATTAAAATAGTCCTGAAGACTGTTTCATGTTTTTTTACACTTTTTTTGAAACACTTTAGAAAACTTCTCCAATTATTATTGAAGATAGAGATCCCTGAAATCAGAATCTCCATAGTTCCTATATACCAAAACTCGTAAACATGGGAAGAGTTCCGAAGATGATAAACATTTTGAAGATTCAAAGGTTTCTAATGAAAAAAAAATGAAACCGATCACATAGGGCGGTAGTCCAAAGAGATAGGAAGGGGTAAAGGAAGCAAAAGAAGACGGTAGGGGAAATGATAAAGAGGATAGAAATACATACATACAAAAAATAAACAGAACACCGAGAAGCACGGATGTGGAAGATGTGGAGGATGTTTCAAAACTCAAAATCAAAAGGCCCTAAAAATGATAATTAACAAAATTTTAAGATTTTAGAGAAAGAAAAACTAAGTGTTAGTGAGGTATACTGAATGATAAGAAAAGTAAAAGGAATAGGACATGCGTCGCGTCGGTAAAAAGAGGAAGGAACACAAACAACAAACAGTATATCGGAAAAAGGTAGTAGCATTGATTATATATGGTAGTAAGAAGAAGGAATGTGGGTGGGGAAGGAAGAGAGAGGAGGGCGGTTCGAGAAGGTAGGAGAAATGAACGTTTCCTAATGAAAGAAGTCTCATTTCTGTTGAGAGTGTCTTAGGATTAAACCTCATTCACTGTCAAGAGCCAAACACTCGAAAGACTAAACGCTTAACGATGGATCTTTCAAGTTACTGTTAAATGTATCTGATAGACAACCTTAGATATTTAGTTGTGATGTTGATTTTGCCCTGCAATTTTGGAATAATGTTTGTTGGACAATAAATTAATGTTATACTCGTACTATTACAGGTTTCTATGGAAGCCGCAATCATTTCTGTGGCTCATTTGCCACAAAACACACTAATATACAATAATCAACCAAACTTTGCTTTGTTGAACAGTTCTGCCGTTTTAATGGGCAAAGTTAACAATTTCAGCCGAACGACTTTTCTAATAACAGTAACTATGTTGTACCTACCCTATTATGCTGATCACTTTGAAATAAACGTAACGGACCTAACTCTACATAAAGGTAAGTAGACGATACGAAAGTCTATAAGGAAAAACACAAGTTGGGGGTGAAAGTGTTGAATAAATTTGCAACTGTTTAACTTCAAGTTTTCATTTCAATGTTGGCCCTGTAACCAAAGGGGTTCTCCTTTTCAAACGGTTAACGGCGAGCTTGTTTGAGTGGGATCTAAATTTATAATTGGTCCTGCATTTCTCATTATTGCGGAGAAGTTCCTTTGCTATTATTCTCACAAAGAAACTCAGTGCAACACTTCCCTATCTTTAGGTATGTAAGATGCTCGTTGATACTAATTATAGAACCCACTAATGGTTTGTTAGTCAAAGTTCGGCACTAAGGAACAGAAATTACACAATCACTAAGAACTGGTATTTCCTTGGCCCAAATAATGTTCGATTATATCGGATCAAGATTGTATCAACAATAGATATCCATGCAAAGATGGCAAGTGTAGTTACGGCAGTATTAAATTACTTTCAAGCTGCCTAATAAAGTTTTTTGCGCGATCGGTCATTTCTGACTATTTACCATGGGTGTTTCCATGACAGTACGTAGAATTTACCAGTTACTATGATTACGACGACGCCAAAATTACTTACCGATCTAAAAACAGAACAGCAAAAATACTTACCGACGCCTTTTTAAAAATCAACAGTCTTACATTACATTTAATCTTTAATTATTGTTAGGTAAATTAAACGTACAATTTTTGCTGTTTTTCCTATAGCAAGACGCTCATAAAGTCATAAAGGAAGTGCAAAGCTAGTAAACTACATCAGACACATGCACATTTTTATGAAATTATTAATTTCAATTTTGACATTTAAACTGGTTGCCTAGTGATGTACACCATACCACTTCGATCATTTCGATTTATTCTGCTCGTTAATTTCTTAGTGCATATTTATATTGGTTGCATAATTTTAATTTCGATCGCGCAAAAAATGTTATAAGCACGTCGAACGTTAAGGGTTACCGTTCTCAGACAATAATTGGAGTCGTCGCTTCGCTCCTCCTCCAAACAATTGTCTTCGAACGGTAAAAATCCCTTACCGTTCTCCATACTTAATATACTATATTTGTCTGTATTGCACTCATTTCAGAGCAATTTTATTTCATTTGTTGCATTGAAAGTTTCAACAATTCAAAATGCAGTCAATTGGGAATACTCTAAAAACGACTTTTAAAAATTGCATGATTGAAAACATCTATCGTATGAAAAGCTCGATCATTTTTTATAGAATCTGTGGGAATTTTACTTGATATAGCGATTTTAGTTCCGATAAAATCACAATTGATTTGATCCTTTGTTAAAGTTCGGAAATTTTTCAAATCACTGTACGCCTCAGTTATTGCCTTTACAGTGTTGATTTATTCAGACGCGAACATTTCAATATTGTATAGGTACCTATGCATCTAGTACCTATGCCCTGAAAAATATACCGAATACTCAGTAACGCATATGGCAAAGGCACAATAAGGTCTGTGGCAAATTCACCATGAAATTGAAGCCATTACGGTACAATTGGACTTCAACCTGCAATGATTTTAAAAAATAAAGGGATCCCGTCATTGTGCTCTCCTTTAGAAAATACGTCGCTATAATGAAATAGCTATATTTGTGTATTAAGAGCGCAAATGATATATTTACGATTGAAAGAGACAGTCAATTTGCGCTCGAATTACACACTAGATTTTTTCTACAATCGAGCAGTTCAAATATTTCCAAAAATTTTAATTTTTCACTCAAATGAAAGATGTCATTTACTCGTTGTCATTGGATACTCTGAGAGTCTGAGCAATGCATATTTGATTTATAGTTAATAATTGGGAGAGCAAGCGTTTTTTTATTCAGTCGGTTATAAGCGACAAAGTGACGTTCCTCGAAAAAGATGACGTTTGCGTTGTTAGATCCGAGCGCAAATGTCTACTTTGGGTATCGATTGTAGAAATAGTTTGGGGCCGAGTACTTTAATTTCCGAGTCAAGTAATGTCATTTTACTGGCGGATTTTGTATTAAATTTTATTATACAATTCTAATTATTAATTAATTAATCTAAAATTTCAATTTTCATATAGAACATTTGATTAATGTCAAATAGTCAGTGATGACAGGAGTCATTACATACACTTAGTAATGTGACAGTCTGATCTGCCTCTGTCATGGAAACTAAACTTTCCTGGCATAAAGTAGGCATGAAAAATAAGATTTCATGACGATTTTGGGTAAAAATATTTTTTTAGCATAAAACGCCATTTTGATCCACAACCATTCTTTTAGATTGCCAATTCCTAAAGGAACTAATCGATTTGAGAATACGGCTTTGTGAGTAAATGAAACGTCTTATACTCGATTACAAGAAGGAAGCCGTTTCTTTAAATCGTAGAGTGATTTATAAGCTTGTAATCGCGCAATTTCTCTAAAGTCCTTCATGGATGCTGACACTTAATTATATGAAAGCGCCTTATAATCCCCTATTATCTATCCTCTTTCAAAATTTTAATGCTATGTGTAATTACCCAACAAGAGAGATCTTTTCGACGGCTTAGAAATGACAAAGGATATGTAATAAGGTAATGCAAATAATCTCTTTTCTTTAATTTTAATAAAAGCGGGAGCTATCAAACACACAACAATTTACAATAAATTCAGCAAACGAAGCAATAATGAAACGAAATAGATATTACATTGGTGGGAGGTATTAAAATGAAGCATTATTGCTTTCTGCTTTCACCTTTATTGTTACCTTTCTGTTGTTGATGTTTGGTTTATACGTAACAGAGACTGTTTGATAATCATAATAGTATTCAATTGTATCGAAAATTGGAAATAGTGTTTTAACGTGGCGGTCTATAAATTTAATAAAAATGTAATAATTTTGCGCCATCACTGGCAAAGATTCTTTCTCCCTGCGATTACCTATCATATTACGTACACAGCCAAAAATGTGCGTTTAACGCTGTTACCTTTTGCTTACAGACAAGATTAGATTTATACGGACGGACTTAACTTGGGAACCAGGAAGTTAGCAGTGGGTTTATTGCAAAATTAAAAATCTCTTCGTAGATCGTTAGTAAGTCGTCATAATAAGTAGTAGCATTGAAAAAAATAGTTATTTGTACTAGTTTTGAAAGTGATACTTTTTTTCATGAATTTGCAGTTTGATTAATGAGGGCGAAGCCCGAGTTAATCAAGCAAATTCATGGAAAAAAGACACTTTCAACACGTGTTGTACACGAAATTTTTTTGCATAGTGGTCCATAATAACCCACAATTGAATAATTTGATAATTTACTGTCACTCAAAAATGGATGCTATTGTTCATAGACAGGACTAAACTCCATGGAAACGCATAGTAAAAATCGTGAAAAAAAGTACCACTTTCCATAAGATTTTTGGTTAAAAAAAGTCCGATAATTTAATCACTATGTAAAAAAAACTATTTTATTCAATGGTAGTAGTTAGTTAGGAGTACTCCAAAAATTTGGTTTGTAACTCACTTTCCTGGAGAGAATAGTATAGTATAAACGCGAGTATAAAGTTGTGTCCTCCCATTGCCTGTTGTGAGAAATAAATGTACATTCATTAAATGTATGTACACTTTTTTGGGTCATAGCAACCCAAACTATAGACTTCCTTTAGACCTGAAAATGATGCAAAGTTTTTCGTTGTATTAGGTATATATTTACATATAGGCATTAGGCAATTCAATGAAAACCATACCTACACAAAAATGAGAAAGAAAAATGAGAACTAGGTACATTAGTACTTAGATTAGAAAGTTAATCTATTTACTGCGCACTTGAGGAATTTAATGTAGGTACCTACATTACAAGTCTATTTGTTATTGTAAGTAAAAAGTACGTAAATAGGTACCTGTCTGCATTTTATTAATATGTGTAAATTGCACTGTTAATGGATGCACTATAGTTTATAGTAGGTATGTTTAACGACACTGATATAGTTTATATCTACTATGAGAGCTGGAATTGAAACAATAATAAACCATCAGATTAATGTAAGTTAGAAAGGGTAGGTAATTAGACTAATGTGATTCAAATATCCCCACTATAGACCATTCGCACCTTAGTATGCAGTATGGGGCTTATGGAGAAACAGTACATGCTTGCCAAACTTATTATAGGATCGATTACTGCACCGTAAAACGGTAGTTTAGACACTATTTATTACTTTTTAACCTAACCTCAGAAGTCAAAAAGGTAAATTAATAACAAGTTGTAATTGTTTGTCAAATGTGGCCGAGAACAGCTTGTATTTATTAAGTCCCAAAAATTTACAAATGTACAGTATACATATTAGTCACTGGAATCGAATTGAAATTCATCGGAAGATGACTGCGACACTTGAATTATAAATTCTTCAACATCATCTTGAAGATAATCTGCTGCCCACATGCCATCTTCGATAGTTTTCACGTGATTGACATAATGTTGCCAATTTTGAACCGTAACTTGTGAATAACCCATTTTTATTAATTCTTCCATGTCCTTTATTTTAAATGTTTTGTTATTCATTTTGATATGATGTTTAACTTGAGCCCACACCATTTCAATGGGATTTAATTCACAATGGTATGGAGGTAAACGGAGAATCTCGTAACCTTTTTCTTGTGCAATAACATCAAGCTTATTTTTGTCGTAGTGATGCCGAACATGCGCAACAGAAGCCAGTAGGTCTCGTTTTAATGGATTTTCTTCAATCGGTACATTTTTCTCACGAAGCCAATCTATAATGTGTTCTTTTCTCCAC